TGCCCAGGCCCAGGGTCTGTGCCAGCTGTGGGCGGTGGGTGGAAGGGCTGAGGTGAGTCCCAGGACCAGTCCCGCCCTGCATCTACTTAAGGTCCCCCAGCAGCACTCTGCACATTGCTCTGTCCTACTGACCAGCCATGAGCTCTGTGAGTGCCCAGGGGCCAGGGATGGGGGCTCAGACCCAAGGTCTGGCCAGGAGGGAGGACTGGGGGTGACTAAGGCCTCCTGCTCCCAGGAGAGGTGGGGCTGACCCGCAGGGCTCTGAGGTTCTGCCCCGTGGGTGTCCCGCCCTTCCCTTCTGCTTTCTGTGTCCCGGAACATCTTTCTGCCTGCTCTGTCCTTTCCTCTCCTTGTCCTGTCTCCGTCTCCACTGCTCTGTGACTCTTGTCTCTTCTGCCTTTGCTGGAAGTTCCTGTCCCTGGGGTCCGGCCAGGGTCTCCCCCATCTTGGACCCTCCCTCTGTCTCCCTGGGTCACATGCATGCACCTGAATCTTCCAGAGTGTCCCCCACAAGACCTCGCTGCCTCAGGGCATCTGTGCCGGCTCCGTGCTGAGGATCCGGGGCATCCTTCCCGGCTCGGCCAGCAGGTGGGACCCCAGCTCTCGGGGATGATGGGGGCTCCAGGCTGCGGATCCCACTTCTCCCAGACCACGAGAGAGGGGGACCCTGGGACCATCTCTGCCCCACAGTGTCATGGAACCCCCAGGGCATTTCTGACTTGCTGAATCCTGATGTGCTCATTGTTTTCCATGACTTCATCAATGGGGTGCCGAAGTCTCCCTAAATCTTTAGAGAGCCTCAGGTTCCAGGTCACTTCAGGTACCTAGCAAATAAGCCTGGACATTGCTGTCCGGGGCGCCAAGCATCTGGTTATGCCTGGAGTCCCCGAACTGCCCTGGATTGCAGGACACCTTAACAGCCAGGCTGCGGGCACTGGGACTTCTGGCCTCTGGCATTCTGGGGTACTCGGGAACAAGCGGGGTCCCTGGCACCGTCCCTTGTCATCTGTCACTGTGAGCTCCCTGGGAATCAAGAAAAACCGGTCCTTAGCGCCTGGATTCCCTGGCAGCTCACAGACTCTTGGAACCCCGAAACCTGGGCGGAAGCAGAGTGACTGGTGTGGGTGGATGCGCCCGGGCCCCAACTTATCTGGATGCCTCGAGCGTCTGCGCCCCCAGTCCCTCTCCCCTCCCCCTTGTGGTGACGTTTCCAGTCCCTGGGCTCTGCACATGAGCACAGTGCTTGACTGCGTCCTAGCCGCGGTCACTGAGCCCCGATCCCGTCTCCCACGCAGGTTCCACGTGAACCTGCTGTGCAGCGAGGACCAGGGCGCGGGACGCCGCCCTGCACGTTAACCCGCGGGCTGGACACGTCCGAGGTGTGTTCAACAGCAAGGAGCAGGGCGGCTGGGGCCGCGAGGAGCGGGGCGCGGGCATGCGTCCAGCGCGGGCAGCCCTTCGAGGTGCTCCTCATCGCCACCGACGACGGCTTCAAGGTGCGGCTCGGGACAAAGCGGAATGGAGGGGACCCAGGTCCCGCAGCCAGCGTGCGGGCAGCGGTGCAGTGTTGTGCGTGGGAAGGACCTCGCGATGGGGTGGCGTGGCCACGGCGAGCAGGACGCCCAGACCTGGCCTGTGGCCACCCCCGCCCCGCAGGCTGGACAGGAGGAGGCGCGAAGCTGAGCGCCGAGGGTGGCTGTCCTCGCGGACACGCGTGCTCAGAGCCGCCACCCCGACCCCCTCGGGTCACGCGCGCCGCGTGGGAGCGCTGTGGTGGCGGAGGGTGTGGGGAGAATGACCTGGGGACAGCGCCAAGATCGCCTCCTGGCGGGGCGACGTTCGCTGAGACCTCCCACCACTCAGCCCCGGCACCCTCAATCTCCTTCAGTGGCGGGCAGGGGGGGTCCCGAAACGACGTCCTCCCTAAAACACTGGGAAGTCCCTTGTGGACCGGCCCGGCCTCGCGCCCTGGCGAGCGGCTCGAGCGCTGAGCGTCGCGCGAGCCCCAAGCTCTGCCATTCTGCCCAGCCGCGGTGACGCGGATCCCGGGTGACACTGCACAGTGGCCCCATTTGCCGCACGGGAAACTGGGCGCAGCGCGCCACGCAGCCCGCCACGGCCCCGACGTCTTACTGTGCCCTTTGTCCCGCAGGTGGTGGTCGGGGACAGCCACTACCCACACTTCCGCCACCGGTGCCGCTGGCGCGCGTGCGCGTGTGGAGGTGGGCGGCGACGTGCTGCTGGACTCGGTCAAGGTCTTCTGAGCGCGACGCAGGGCGCGGGCGCGGGCGCGGGGCGCGGGTCCGGGCGGGTGGCGAATAAAGTGCCCCCGTGGTGCTGGCTGTGTGTGTCCCCCTTCTTCGCAGGCGACGAACGCGAGGTTCTGGGGTGAAACACGGCGACTCGGGACACGCAGCGGACCCCGTCTTGGGGGGCCAGGCGTGCGCGTCCTTTGGGAGGGGACGCCCGGTTGGACAGAAAGAAAAAGATCACGGGTGGGGTTCACTGCGGGCGGGTGGGGCGCTGAGAGCTTCGGCCGTCGGTCGCACCGCGTGGCGGAATCGGGTCGTCACGGTGTCCTTTGGAACGACGGAAATGAGTCCCCGTGTCCGGGTCACTCGGGCACCCTCCCCCCACCCACACCGGGAGAGTGTATGAGAATGGCCCCTGCCTGTCCCTCCCGTGTCCCCCACGCTTGCCGTCCTGGTCCCCAGGATGGCTCCGGTGGCGTCACGGTCCGGGCGTGGGTCCCGCGTGGGGACGTCCCCGGTGGTCCAGCCACGACCTGCGGCTACCCGCCGGCTTCAGCCCAGAATCCGAGCTCAGGTTGACCGTCCCGCGTCCCCTCTGGCGCAGGCAGCACACAGGCAGCACGGCAGGAATCTGACTTTGGCATCGGTGGGGACAGGCGGGCCTATGGTCCTTGCTCTGCCTTCGGGACCCGGTGGCTCCTGAAATCCCTCTGTCCCTTCCCGCACCCGGGGCCCATCTCAGGGACCTCATAGCTGTCCCTGGTCCTGGGGCCGCATGCCGGGTCACTCGCGTCCAGTGCTTTAAGATGGTTAAGCTTTTTTAAATTTTATTTTGTGGTACTGGGGTTTTCCTCAGGGCTTTCACCTTGACCCACTCCAGCAGCCCTGTTTTTGTGAAGGGTTTTTCGAGTAGGGTGCTTCGAACTGTTTCCGCAGCTGTCTTCAAACGAGATCTTCCTGATATCTGCCTCCTGAGTAGCTGGGATTACAGATGACCACCAGTGCCTGGTTATTTGTTTTTATTTTTATTTGTCAATTACCAGATTTGATTCAGGGCCAGGCACTTGGAGCCAGCCCCAGCCCTCCTCGCTTTTTGGTGTTTTCTAAAACACCTAAAAGATGGTAGCGTACACCATCTCCCGGTTATGCCCAAGCTGGCCTGGAACTCCGTCCTTCTATCCTTTTCTGTTGTAACTGGTATGACAAGTGTGTGGCCTAGCCTTTTGGTTGAGATTGGCTCTCCCTGTCTTTTTCCCAGGCTGGCCTCGAACTGAGATCCTTCTGATTTCCACCTTCCTACTAGCTAGGATTCCAGGTATGAGTGACCTAGCCAGGACTTTATGTGTATTGGGTCCTCATTTTAGGTGGTTTTTTTTTTTGTTACCAGGTTTGAGCTCAGGACTCCACAGTTGCTAGTTAGGAGCTCCTCCATTTGAGCTCTACCTCTACCCCCCACCTTTTATCATCTTTGCTCATTCCTTATGCATGCCTTTTGTAGAATTTTGAAAACAGAAGTTGAAATCACCCACCAGTGGGGTGTCGTGGGTCATACCTGTAATTACAGCACTTGGAAGGCAGAGACAGGAGAATGGCAAGTTCCAGGTCACCCTGAGCTATAGAGTAAGTTTCTATCTCAAAAAAATTTTTTTTAAATCTGCGTGCTTTCTCATTTCTGCAATCCCAGCTACTTGGGAGGCAGAGACTGGGAGATGAGTCTGTTTGAACCACCCCACCCTCCCAGCCAGGCAAAAAGAGCAAGATCCCGTCTCAATCAATAAGCCATGCATGGTGGTTCACGCCTGTCATTCTAGCTATTCTGGGGACTTATGTCCCCAGTCCAGGGGAATTGCAGTCCAGGTCAGCCTGGGCAAAAATCTCAAGACCCTACCTGAAAAATAACTGAAGCCAAAAGAGCTGAGGATCTGACCCATGTGGTAGAGCACCTGCCTAGTAGATGTGAGGCCAGGTTCAAATTCCAGTACTACAAGTAAATAAACAAACATTAAAACAAATTTTTTGTGACACTGAAGTTTGAACTCTGGGCCTCACACTTGCTGGGCAGGCACTCTACTACTGCCAGCAATATAAAAATTAATTTAAAATAAACAAAGTCAGCTGGGTGCTGGTGGCTCACGCCTGAAATCTTAGGCACTCAGGAGGCAGTGATCAGGAGGCTTGTGGTTCTACCAGTCCAGGTAAATCATTTGAGAGACCCTATCTTGAAAATACCCAACATAGCCAGATGCCAGTGGCTCATGCCTATAATCCTAGCTACTCAGGCGATAGAGATCAGGAGGATCTTGGTTCGAAGCCAGCCTGGGCAAATAGGTCGTGAGACCCTATCTTGAAAAAACCCATCACCAAAATAGGGCTGGTGGAGTGGCTCAAGTGGTTGAGTGCCTGCCTAGCAAGTGTGAGACCCTGATTTCAAACTCCAGGACCTCATAAAAAACAATCAACTTCACTGCAATGTACTCTATACACAATAGCAATCATTCTTTTTTTCTAATGGTCTCACTGTGTCACCCAGGCTGGCCTGGAACTCATGATTCCTTCCAGCCTCACCTTCCCCAGTACTGGGATTACAGGTGTGCACCACCATGCCAGCCTTCATAACTAGGTTTATTATGATAGAGGGAAGATGGACAGATGGATGGGTGGCTGAATGGACATTGCATGGTTGACTAAAGTAGGAAGAATAAGGGACATAAATGTAGTCACCCACACACACACATGAGATGCCCTTGGACATTTTATTAGGGGCTGAGAAGGGAGTCCTGGTTGTCTTTCTCTTTTCCCGGGGGCTGTGTCCAGGAATAGATCAGATTTGGACATAGGACAAGGTGACATCGCCATGAATTTCTATCACATCCACTCGCTGGAAGGCTGAGAATCGGTGTGCGTAGTCGAAGAGGTGCTGGCCGTTGGCATAAACCTTGAACCGATCTGTGCCGCAGCGGATGGACAGCTGCGGGAGAGGGGTGAGGGTGAGGCTGGGCAGGACCCGGCTCTGCAGGGGGTGGGGGAGGGGCCCCAGACTCACATCAAAGAATTGGCCGGGGCCAAACGGGTTGTAGGAGAGCTTCCTCTCTTCGGAGCCCCACGAGCCGTTCAGAAGGCTGTTCCGAACCACGGCCCCCTCGCCTATGCGGGGGTTGATGTGCAGAGCCAGGTCCCCGGATGACCCCACCTTGAAGTTGATGATAAAGCTGGAACAGAAGGGAGACCCAGTGACAGTCTGGGTCTGAGGGAGGAGGCTGGGGTCTGGACCCCCGGGTCTGGGGGAGGAGGGGACTTGGTCTGGACCCCGGGTTCTGAGGGAGGGCTGGGGGTCTGGACCTCTGAGTCTGAGGGACGGGGGCTGGGGACTGGACCCCGGTCTGGGGGAGCAGGGCCGGAGAACCATCCTCTTGCTGGAGGGGGGCACGTAGCCTTTGATGATGATGGTCTTTCGGGCTGTGAGCCCCCCATGCAGTCTCCCTGTATATGGCACAGGCTGGGACAAGAACAGGGTGTCAGTCCCTTCAGTTATAAGCCAGGCCAGGAAACACATTTCAGAGATTCCCCCTCAGATCAGCACCCCTCCCTACACATCTCTCTTCCCTCCCTTGCCCACCACCACCCAACTCCCCAGGACGCCATACCGGGTTGAAGGTTGGGGTCCTTGCATGTCTGTGAAGTAAGGGAAGGGATGTTACTCCTCATTTCACACACAAATATTTTACCACACCCAGCAGGCCACTGATGTTCCTCCCATACCCAGAAAAAACTGGGCTCTTCCCCCTCCTCCCCAAGCAATTCTGGCTCCCCCCCAAATGGCCACACAGCCCATCCCCCCTTACAGGCAAGCTGTTATGATAGGCAAAGCTGGGACCTACAGGATGGACAGAAGGCAGAATGGTGAGAGGTCTGGGTCCTGACTTCCCAGACCTCCGGCATTATCCCCCACCTCAGGGACACCTGTCACAACAGTAGCTACTTACAGGGTAAGCTGGGGTCATCATGGGTCTCTGTGGGCAGAGAGAAGGAAGGAGGTCATGAGTGGGACCTCAAATTCAGAGTGGAAGGAGTGGAGGGCCTTCCCTGGGGAGCCACCGACCACCGAGAGGAGATTGAAGCCCAAGGTGACTCCAGATGTCACCCTCATTCATGGAGAGGCCACACCTTGTTTAGGCACGGTGCAAGTACTCCACGGCTTGAACATGTTCCATCCAGATTTTTTTTTTTTCTTTTGTGGGACTGGGTTTGAATTTAGGACTTTGTGCTTGAAAACGCAGTACTCTACTGCTTTAAGCCACACCTCCAGTTTCATTTTGCTCTGGTTTTTTGGAGGGCATTTCAAGAACTATTTGTCCAAGCTGGCCTCAAACCTCAATCCTACTGATCTCAGCCTCCCAAGTAGCTAGGATTACAGCCATGAGCCACTGGCCCAACTTTTTCTTCTTCTTTGGGGCTTTTTCAGTTCCATGTTTGATGCTGAGAGCCCCCTGCGTGATGTGGTGGCTGTTCAGTGTTTCTTCCCATTAGGTGACAAACGCTTTGTCTACCAGTAGTTTTGGACTTTGCCTCTCTGTCCATTTGGTGTGGGATTGGAAGCCAGGGCTTGTGCCTGCTGGCTGGCACTTACCCACTGGGTCTTGAGGGAGGAGGCATTCTGGAACCCGAGTGCATGCTTGGTCTGCGATGTTGGAGGCTATTCTGAGGACCTGGGTGTGGAGCTTCTGGGCCATCGAGCCATTGTTTGCTCAGCTTTCACCACGCCGCCCAGCCATTTACCAAGTCCAGCTGCCACTTGCCAAGGGCCATGGTCAGCGTGCTCTGCTGCTCTGTGTGCTTGGCCACCTTTGTGCTGTGGAGTCTCTGTTCCATTATGGCTCTGATGGCTGTGTCATGACCTCATTGTGCTTTTGAGCTTCCCAGGTGACTAATGGCGTTAGGCAACTTGTCCTGAGTTTGTCTGCTAGTCACAAATTCTCTACTTATCTTCACTTTCCGAGTCTGTTTACACACCTCCTTCTCCTCCAGGAAGTCTTTGCTTACCCATGACTGCATCAAACCTGGACTTCAGACTCTCAAAACCGCCTGTATTTCTCCACCCTAGCTCCATTCCTCTGCCTGAGACCCCCTTCCATGCCCCACCTTCTGCCTGAGACCCCCTCCCATCCCCCACCCTCGGCCTGAGACCCCCTCCCATCCCCCACCCTCGGCACCTCTTCCCCCATCGCGGTGCTGAGCACTGGAAGCCAGGTCTGGGGATGTGTGTGCGTCCTCCCTGTGGACATCTCGGTCACCACAGGGTCCCTGGCACCACGCAGTAAAGGATCTGGCCTAGAGCAGCTGCGCAGGCAGTAAGGAGAGTGGGCACGGGTCACGGAAGGAAGAGAGCGAGGGGGGCTCACATACCTGTGGTGGGACTGGCTGGCCTCCAAGGAAGTTGATGGACTGAAGCTCCAGGTCCCCGTCCACCTGCAGGTGGGTGACCATCTGCAGGGGGAGCCGATGCCGGAACTCGTAGAAGAGTTTTCCATCCACCATCACCTGGGGAGCCAGAGGTCATGACCTTGGGAAGGCAGAAGCGCCATCCTTTGGACTTGGGGTCCAAAGTCTGGGGGGTGCCCTGGGGTGGGCTCAGAGTGAGGAACCTTGCAGTTCCTTAGGGTTGGGGTCAAAAGTGCTCTGTCTGCGCCTGTGCAATACCCTGGGCTCATCACCAGTGCCCCATCACACCCCCCCACGCGCACGCGCACGCGCACACATGCACACCCACACGCGGACACGCACCCACACGCACACCCCCGCACACGCGCGCACACATGCACACCCACACGCGGACACGCACCCACACACCCATGCACACACCCACGCACCCACACGCACACCCACGTGTACACGCACGCACGCACACACACGCACACACGCACATGCACACCTCCCACAACCCCCACACGCACACGCACACAGATTCAGCTTTCAGATGGTGGATGGGAGACAATGGAGGATTTAGATCAAGAGAAAACCACGTTTGAGTCCTGGTTGGGGCACCAAATGAGCTAGGTTTGAGGTCTAGCTCTAAAATGTCCTAGCTCGGTAAGTCACTTGACCTGTCTGAGCCTTTGTTTCCTCGTCTGTGAATCGGGTTGCTCACCTCGGAGGTTTTTGGGAGGAGATAAACCAGCCAGGCATGTCAGAGTCATGTACAAGTCTGGTGCAGAGCCCTGCTTTGTGTGCACGGCAAGGCCTATGCCACTAGCTTCTAGTCGGAGCACTAAGGGACAGACACGGGCCACCAGCCAGCTCTGAGGAACTGCAAACTGCCTTCTATTAAGTGCTGGGCATGGTGACATCAGCATATGATTCTCAAGGCAGGTAAGGTGGCTCACACCTGTAATCCTAGCTACTCAGGAGGCAGAGATCAGGAGGCTCAAGGTACAAGGCCAGCCAGAGAAAATTCATTCACGAGACCCTATCTCGAACATACCCAACATGAAATGGCTGGCGGAGTGCCTCAAGCGGTAAGAGTGCCTGCCTAGCAAGCATGAGGCCCTGAGTTCAAACCCCAGTACTGCCAGAAAAAAAAAGAAAAGAAAAAAAAGAGTTTGAGGCCAGCCTGGGGCTACATAGAGAGTCTGTGTCTCAAAATTAAACAACAACAAGAAAAAAGTGTTTGGGGTTCTTCCACTAAGCTGTGCCTCTCAGGAGACTCCACTGACGTGTCACTGAGAATGCCACACGGGTGTCACAGCAGGGCAGGGTAAGCTCAGAGGGTAAGGCCCTTGGGTCCCGCACGGCTGCTCGGGGGTGCCCCGAGCACCACAGCAGGGCAAGTGACAGAAGGAATAGAAGGTGACGCACAGTACTGAGCCCGGGCATATTTTAAATCCAAGGCAGGCATTCGGATCTGGGTGGGGAGAATGTGGGGAAAGAGGACACCCCAGGCAAGAGGGGACCTGGCCGGACGTGAGGGAGCAAAGGGGATGGAAGATTCTGTTTCTGGCTGCTTCCAGGGCTGTGTTCTCATGGTGAAAGACCAGAGAGCCATGGACACACTGGCAGGCACTTTACCTGGCAACACTACACTAAGCCATCACAAAACACCTGTTAGTCACAGGCAACTGTGGGTTGGCCTTATTTGGGCCTGGATTCAAAAGCACTGGAGAGAACAGCAGACACACAGCTTTACGACACGACTGGAACCGGATAGGAAACGTGGTGACATTAAGAGAGAGTGGCTCATTTCTAGGTGTGATGTCATTGGGACTATGCTTTTCCAAAGAGGAAATATTTATGAATGAAATGATGTAACGTCTGGGATCTGCTTTTAAGTAACATGGAAGGGTCAGCATTCGGAAGAAAGGAGAGGGCCGACCATAGGAGGATGCAGGATGGGGGAGAATCTGTCCAGCATTCTGATCAGACAGAAAAAGTCCCCATTTTGCAAGAACCCAAGGGATAAGAGGATGCACATCGTGTGAGTTAGAAAGGCAGGAAGAAGACTGGGCATGGTGGGGCGTGCCTGTAATCCCAGCTACTCATGAGGTAGAGATTGGGATGATTGAGGTTTGAGACCAGCCAAGGCAAAAAGTTTTTGAGACCCCATCTCAACCAGCAGCTAGGTATGGTGGTTAATGCTTGTGGTTCTAGCCATTGGGAGATGGACATAGGAGGATAATGGATAGAGGCCAGCTTGGGGCCAAAAAAATGTGAGACCCTATCCAAAAAGTAAATAAAACAAAAAAGGGTTGGTGGCCAGGTGAGGGTACTCACTCTTGTGATCCTAGTTACTTGTGAGATTGAGATCAGGAGGGCCACAGTTCAAGGCCAGCCACATGCAAATGTTCCCATCTCCAAAGTAACCAGAGCAAAAAGGACTGGAGGTGTGGCTCAAGCAGGAGAGCGCTTGCTTTGCAAGTGTAAAACCCTGAGTTCAAGCCCTAGTACGGCCATTACCACCATCACCCGCCCCCTGCAAAAAAAGAAAAAAGACAGGAGGAACAGAAAAGAAAGAAAAAGTTGAGGTCGGAAGGGAGGAGGGAGGGAAGAGAGGAAAAAGGAGAAAGCGGGGTGTGGGGTACACGCCTGTAATCCTAGCAGTTGGGGAGGCAGAGTCCCCCAGAGTTCAAGGCCAGCCTGGGCTACATATCAAGAGCCTAAAGAAATTGATAAAGGGAGGAAGAGAAGAAGGAAAGAGAGAGGGGAAGGAAGGAAGGAAGAAGGGAAGTGTCAGGCTTGGTGGCTCATGCCTGTAATCCTAGCTACTCAGGAGGAGATCCAGAGGATCTCAGTTTGAGGACAGCCAGGTCTCAACCAATAAAAGCTGGGTGTGGTGGCTTGAACTGGTGAACCTAGCTAGATAGGAGGGTTGAGGTCCAGGCCAAGAAGACAGACCCTATTCAAAAAAATAACAAAAGCGACAGGGTACCTGTGGCTGACACCTGTGATCCTAGCTACTCAGGAGGTCAGGAGGCAGAGATCGGGAAGATTATGGTTTGAAACCAGCTTGGGTAAATAGTTCATAAGACCCTGTCTCAAAAATACTCAACACAGCGCTCAAGCAGTAGAGTTTCCACCTAGCTAGATGTGAAAAATCCCAGTGCTGCCCCCCCTCAAAAAAAAAAAAGCCCAACACAAAACAGGGCTGGTGGAATGGCTCAAGTGGTAGAGTACCTGTCTAGCAAGCATGAGGCCCCGAGTTCAAATCCCGGTACCAAAAAGTGTGTGTGTGGGGGAGGGCAGAGCAACTGCCTGACAAAAGCACAGCCTCAAGCCAGCCAAAATAGCGAAAGAAAGCAGAAAGAAGGGAGGAAGGGGGCGGGAGGGGGGAGCGGGTGGGGGGGTGGCGGCCAGGGGGGCTCGCACCTTGTAGTGCTCAGCCTGGACCATGAACACCAGCTCGAAGGGTTTGCCCTTGCTGAAGGGCATGCTTCTCTTCTTCTCCTCGCTGCCCCACTGGCCGCCCTGCCTGGAGTTGAAGACCACCTTGTCCCAGCCGTCGAAGCGGGGATTGAAGTGGAAAGCCACATCTGCCTCCAGGCTCTGCCCCACGGCGAAGTTCACGTGGAATCTGGTGGTACATGAAGGGCCAAACTGGTGTCTCCCCAGGAAACCCTGTCCTCAGCCTGGTCCGAATGTCCCTGAGCTGGACCTTGGTATGGTTGACCCGGGAAAAGTGTGTGTGTGTGGGGGGGGGTCGTGGCCCCAAGTTCCAAGAGGCAGAGCACCCCTTACTGTATGCTTTTCCTTCTAGACCCTTCCCCCACGTGTCCCTGATGCTGGCTCTTGTGACTTCCTGGTTTACCCAGCACAGTTTATCACACCTGCTACACCGCTCTATACATTGGGGTCTTCCTGTTCCTTCCTGGTTCCCACATGCTATTCCCTGAGTACAGCCAGGGGCATCCTGTGGACACCCAAGCCCCAGTTTCCACCCTGCCAGCCCTCGTGAAGGGGGGAGGGCGCCCCCCAGCAGCACCCCAACTGCAGGGAGGGCCTTACCTCCTCATGTGCTCTTTGGCAATTCCCTGGATGTACACAGACATTCCGATGCTCAGGCCACCCGGGATGGGCTGGCTGTAGGGCAGTTTCTGCAGGAGGGCGGGTGAGGGGCCTCAGAGGCTGCCTGCGTGCCACAGCCCTGCCCCATCGCCAAAAAGCCCCCTAGTCCCTTAAGCAAGGGAGATGAGACACGAGATGACGACAAGACCTGGAGTCAAGTGTGGACGCAGATGGCCTGAGCAAGCGCTCAGGTGTAAATCAAGCCTCAGAATGATTTGGGGTAAATCAGATCTGAGGATCAGAGCCCCCGCCACACACTCAGGGTCAAGGTGGGGACGAACCGGTGCGTGGGGTAAGGGAGGAGGTAGCCAGAGCCTGGGTGTGGGGCATGGACCAGTGTCTCACCGGGTTGTAGGTGGGCTGGTAGCCTGGTGCAGGGACAAAGGCCATCTTGAGAGGCTGGGCTGGTGGCTGGTCCTGGGAGAAAAGCTGCAGGAGCAGGAAATGCTGGCAGGTGGCAGGTGGCCCTTATACCGGAGGGGAAGGGAGTGGCTGGCAGGGGAGGGTCCACGAGGTCCCTCCAGTGGGGATCGTACCTCACCAGCCTCCTCCAGGGGGGCCTCAAGTGAAGAGGAAGTAGTGGTGAACTTTGGCCTTATCAGGGGCCTTATCAGTGCCCATAAAGCCCTTCCCGAGCTCTGTTGGCAGAAGGAAGGTGAGTACAGGCGGGCAGGGCAGGGCAGGGCAGGGCTGCAGGAGCGGTTGGACAGGTGGGCAGCGGAAGCAGGCAAAAGCAGGAGCATGGGAGACACAAGATTTATTGCATGACCTGCGTTTCCCCATCCTGTACACTGTATCCTGTGCACACGTGTTTAGAGCACACACAGTTGGAGCCTGAGGATCTGGGTTCCAATCCTGCTTCTACCACATTCTGTGTGTGTGATCCTGCATCAGTGCCTTACCCTCAATTTGCCTATCTGCCTATCTGTAGAATAGGGATAGTGACAGCACCAACTTCATAGGTCCGTGAAAGAATCACTAAACTAATAAATGCTCAGAGCAGGACTTGGCATACAGAAGGCACTCAATTAACGCTTTGTCTTTTTAAAAAAATTTTTTTGTACTTTGCCCTAGGCCAGCACACTTCAATATGTGGCCATTTTAATTTAAATTCAATCGATAAAATCAAATTTAAAATAAAAATGAAAGCAAAATAGAAGTCACATCCCTCAGCCTGGAGTGCATGAAAGCCACAGTGGTTCTTGCATGGGAACACAGAGCCCAAGCACATGGAGCAAGTCAGGTCCTTCGGGCTCCTTCTGCCAGCTCTGCTGATCAGTGCTGCACCAAAATGAAGTGAGGGTGGATATGCTTGGTCTCTTGCAATCATTCCAAACTTAAATCCTGTAGGCATAGGTATGAAAATCGCCAGTTTAGAGAAATGAAGCAATTGGCTCAAAATTGGTAGCAATGGACAAGATAACTTCACGCTAGATCCCACTGAGCTGTGCAGGAAAGGCACCAGGCAGTGCGGACTGCTCAGTCCAGGGAGACGAGGTGTGGCTTTCAACCTGAAGGGAGCCAGTCCAGAGACCACTAGCTCCATCCCTCCCAGACTTCCCCTTGGCCCTATTTGAACAGTTACTCACTGGTCAGATCTCTATCCCTGCCACGCTCAGTGGTGCACGCCTGTAATCCCAGCACTCAGGAGGCTGAGGCAGGAGAATCACATGTTCCAGGACAGCCTGAGCTACATAGAGAGACCCTGTCTCAAAAACAACAAAACCCAGAAATCTCTATCCTCAACCTTCACAGCTGCTCTCCTTGGAATCCAGGATGCATCACGGCCCTCCCCCATCTCTCTCCAATAAAGACACCAGGTTTTTGGGAGTGGAAGGGTGCCTGCCTAGCAAGCGTGAGGCCCTGAGTTCAAACCCCACCACCACCACCACCAAAAAGGACAGCAAGTTCTTTCCCGAACTTTATTCTTGGCATTGAAATAAGGCAAGGAACCGTGTCATAAAGCAATAAACCCGGAGGCTGCGTGAGAAGGCACTAGAGGCCCACCTCGACCGATCCTTCTTCTCTAGAAAACCAGACAGGCGCGAGGTGGCACAGGCCTGGCCTTGGGCCAGAGCATGTGTCCCCAAGGCCCTCAGAGCTTGGAGAAGGTGACACTTTTCATGTCCTTCTTCTCCATGGCGGCCTGGACGGACTTGACGATGTCCTGGGTCTGTAGCATGCTCATGTTCCAGGAGGCCTGGGGAAAGGGGGCGGGGAAAGGCTAGCAACGCACCAATCAGAGGACGAGGCGCTGTGCCGCCGCCCCCCCCCCCCCCGCCCTGCGGCCCGGGCCTTGATTGGTCGCTCCGGGCACAGGGAGGGCTGTGATTGGTGGAGGCAGCGCTTACCATGTAGTCTAGGGCCTGGTCCACTGGATGGTCGCGGGAGTAGAGCAGGTTGATCTTAGTGCTCTGCACGGCCACCGGGCTCTTGCTGGATATCTCGACCGCCAGGGCGATGGCGGCGTCCAGCATGGGCTCCTTGTCTGGGAACACGCGGCTGCCCGGAGGGATGAAAGGGATTAACGGAACCGCCTCTTCCCTCCTGTGCCCGGTGGCGGTGGCGGTGGCGGTGGCGGGCGGAGGACCCCAGGAAAAGGGCCCAAGCCCAGCAGATTGCTGACCCCTTAGGAAGAAACGGGCACTCGCAGAAAGATGCCACCTGGAATCCTCGAGTGAGGGTACAGGGACCCGCGGGGAGCCCCGCCCGGCTTGGCTGGGCCCCTACCTGACCAGCCCGCTGCTCAGCGCCTCGTCGGCCATCATCTTGCGGGCGGTTAGGGCCAGCTCGTTGACCAGGCTGCAAAAAGGGAAGGTGGATCAGGAGACACTGTCGTCCTGGGCCTGTGAGAGTCCCTGCTGTCCCCACCCCAGGCTCTGCTCGCCCCCGCTCACCTCTGGTTCCCGATGACCTTGGGGAGCCGCTGCAGCGTCCCCACATCAGCGGCCAGGCCCACGTCCACCTCCTGGGGAGGGGGTTTCGGTTAGTGTTTGCTCAATGCCGGTGACCTGTGACCAGGGACCTCCAAGCACCCTGTCCATTCGTGTCAACATGTTGTCACCGGCTCGCACTGAGCCACCTGCCCATTTCCTTGCCCTACTGGTGACTCAGGGTAGCTTTATCTCGCTGGAGGGCCGCCCCTACCCTTGCACTTGGCCCCTTGCTGCATCTGGGGGCTCCAGCATGGCCTCAGCAGCAACCCTAGCTTCATCTCTTCCCCTCCCTTACTCACTCCTGACCTCCCACCCTTACTGCTTCCTCAATGGTGTTTTTTGTTGTTGGTTTGTTTTTGTTTTCTTTCAGGGCTGGAGTTGGAACCCAGGGCTTTGCACATGCTAGGCGAGCACTCTTCCACTGAGCTACATTCCCAGTCCTTTTTAAAATTCCTGAAATGGAGTCTCATTCTGTAGTTCAGGCTGGTCCTCAACTAGCTATGTAGCCCAGACTGACCTCAAACTTGTCATTCTCCTGCCTTCACCTCCCAAGTGCTAGGATTACAAGTAAGTCCCATCACACCTGGCACCCAAGCTTCACTTTGGCTCAATTCTGATTCCCCCAGGGCTTGCTTCCTTGGCCCAAACCATCCCCGATCTGCCCAAGTTCTGTCCCTCACTGCTCAGCAATACACAGGGGCTCAGAGGTTCAGGAGTGACACACCTTGACCTGGAAGATAGCATCCTGGGCACAGTACCGGATGTCACAGGCAGTGATGAGATCCACACCTGGGAGGAAGAAACCAGGGACATGGAACAATGGCCCCCCACCCCGAGACTTGGATGCATGTAGTCTAAGTAGCAGCAGAGGTGAGACAAGGCCACTGGCAGAAATGGCCATGAGCACCCTCGTGGGCGGCAGGTGGCTGTAAACTCACCGGCACCAATGCATCCCCCGTGGATAGCAGCAATCACAGGCTTGGGGCACTGGAAGGAACAGGAGGGACTGGGTTAGGGCTGACTGAGGAGAGGCAGGCAGAGGGGATGCCCTCTAGTCCCCAGAGTCACCTTCTCAATGACGCTGAAGGTTTTCTGGTACCTGGTGATAAGATCACGGAGGTACCAGCTGATACGGGCTGCATCATCTCCTTTGGGCTGTAGGAGACCCGAAGCCATGTCCACGAGATCAATACCTGATCAGAAGGCATGGAAGATTTGTCTAGCCCCCAGTGCCCACCCATCGCCCCAACCAGGGGTCCCAAAACCTGAATCACCACAGCAGAAAGTGCAGTCTCATGGGACTTTTTTTTTTTTTTTTTTTTTGCTGGAGTTTGAACTCACAGCCTACACCTTGAGCTACTCCACCGGCCCTTTTTTGTGATGGGTTTTTTTAGAGATAGGGTCTCACGAACTATTTTGCCTGGGCTGGCTTTGAACCATGATCCTCCTGATCTCTGCCTCCTGAGTAGCAAGGATTACAGACGTGAAACACAGCACCAGGCTTACATAGGACTTCTTGAGGCATTACATGTGGGGCATGAAATGAACAAAAACCGACAGGGATTAAGTCTTTACTCACTCAGTCCTTACAACGACCCTATCAGGTAGGTCCTGTAGCTATTTCCAGTTCACGGATTGGTAAACCGAGGCACAGAGAAGTTAAGCACTTGCCCAAGATCACACTAACTTGTGCATGGCAGAACAGGGATTTTGAATCCAGAACCATGCAGCTGGCTCCAGGGCACATGTTTTTCTCCATATGCCAGGTGACCTAGGAGTCCAGGTTTGTGGCACAGCAACTGACTCATGGTAGTAATGCTTCCTGAGATGGAGAGACCAGGATGGAGCAAATTTTGTGGATCCATCTTCAAGAAAATGCTAAATCTGACTTTTCTTCTTTTTTCTTTTTGGAGACAGGGTTTCACCAGACAGCCCAGGCAGGCCTGGGACTCGTGATCTTCCTGCCTCAGCCTCCTGAACAGTGCCGTTGGACAGCTCTGAGAAGTCATTCCCATCCTTGGCCACACCCCTGATGCTCAGAAGCCTTCCTACCTGCTCAGGAGACAGTTGCCTTGTGCAAGAGACATCTGTGTAAGCTAGTGCTCCCTGTGCCACCCCAGCCAGTCACTTCATCTGGGCCTGGGGTGGCTTCTCTGTAAAATGCTGGAAACCTCCCCCAGGAAGCAGACGGGCTCCAAGGGTACACAGGGAAGCAGCCCCAGAGGTGCTTGGCACGGGGCCTGGCACGCCGTGATGTCACTGGGTTCCTGTTACCATGGTCTCCGTTTCAGCAGAGGCCAGAACGGCTTGTGCCAGCCCAGTGGGGGTTCTTGGCTCTCAGCCCTTATCTGAGAAGGCCTTGTGACTCATCCATGCTGACTCCCAAAACAAGCCCAGCAGGGCACTTCTGACACCTCCTCTCACTGACTTTTCTGGTTTTTCCACCCTCCCTGGACCTGCACACACTGGATTTGCAAATCCCTGAAACAAAGGGCTCCAGACCGTGGGACGAGGTGGCCCCCTTCAAAAACTGGTTGGTGCTGAGGTCACCTGTCTTGTTCCCCTGGAACCTGTAACATCATTCATAATCACACAGTTGCTATTACCAACATAAACAACAACCTATCAACAAACAATTTGCATATTAATGTCAGATGCTGAATATTAATGTTAACCTCTTCCATTTAATCCCCACAGCATGACAACCTGATGAGGTCGGTGCTAACATGTCCACTGTCTTCAAATGGGGAAGCAGAAGCAGAGAAGAGAGAGGACAAGGACAGGTGGCAGAAGTGGGGAATACCCGAGACCAGAGCTCTGGCTTTGTTTTGGCCCTGCTAGGATTGACCCCAGGGCCTCTTGCCTGCTGGGCAAGCACTTACCACTGAGCCACACCTCCCCAGCCCGAGTTCTTGCTTTAACCAGCACACCAGCTACCTGAGTCACAGTCACTTAAGTGGTGAAGAGCAAGGATTCTGGCCAGGTCTCCTGAGTTCCAAAATCCCGGCTCTGCCACTGAATTTTTTTTTTTTTTGGGCGGTGCTGGGGTTTGAACTCAGGGCTTATACCTCTGCCAGCCCTTTCTTGTCGTGGGTTTTTTGAGATAGGGGCTCATGAACTATTTGCTTGGACTGACTTCAAACCTCACCAGCAACTGGCTCTGCCACTGAACTTAAACAGTTGAGAATCGGACAAATTCCTCTTCTCTCTTCTATTTCCACACTTTTAAAATGGGGATTATAGCCAAGCACCAGTGGCTCACGCCTGTAATCCTAGCTACTCAGGAAGCAGAGATTGGAGGATCATGGTTCAGAGTCAGCCTTGGACAAATAGTTTGTGAAACCCTATCTTGAAAAAATACCCAACACAAAAAGGGCTGGTGGAGTGGCTCAAGTGATAGAGCACCTACCTAGCAAGTGTGAAACCCTGAGTTCAAATCCCAGTGCCACAAAAAAAATAAAATGGGGATTATAATAGCACTTGGCATATAAGATTATGATATATTTAAATATATATATTTATATATATATATATTTAAATAATATATATTTATATTTTTAAATATATTTAAAGGACCTAGAGTAGGGTCTGGCACTTCATGAATGTAAATAAATGTGCCTTTTTTTTCCTTCTGGTGGGACTGAGTTCGAACTCTGGCATTCTACCGCTTGAGCCACACCTCCAGTCCATTTTTTGTTGTGGTTATTTTGGAAATAGGGTCTTGAAAACGATTTGCCTGAGCTGGCCTCAAACCATAATCCTATCCAGATCAGCCTCCCAAGTAGCTAGGACTATAGGTGTGAGCCGTTTGGTGCCTAGCATGGCTTTTTTTTTTTTTTTTTTTTTTCTCTTTTCTTTTTTTCTTTTGTGTGTGCCTTGAACTTAGGGCCTCCCACTTGCTAGGCAGGCGCTCTACCATGTGAGCCATATTCCTACCCCATCTACTCCACTCATTGGGACACTGACCTGAGTTTCTTCTTTCTGGCCTTCAGAGTTTTACTGCTGAAAAATGGATCAAGATGGGCACAATCAGGTGGGAACTGACCGATGAGGGTCCTAGCCTGGCACAGCCCCAAGTGAAGTCTCACTGTTCCTTTCTTAGACATGTGCTCCATGAGAGCATGGGGTCTGGACACTGGCTGCCTCCCCTGTCTCCATGTCCCCAACACCCAGGAGAGGCCCTGGCATTGCACTGCCCTCCGTGGATGTTTGTTGAATGAATGAATGAACAAATAAATGCAAGAACAGAGAGATGCAGAAGGAAGACAAGGGCATGTGAAGTTAACAGAGGGAACAGAGGGAACTGAACTGTTTACTGTCTGTCTTCCCTGCTGAGCTGGAACTCCATGAGGACATAGCACGGTGCTGTCTCAGTCACCTCTGGGTCCACACAGCTGGATTGGGTTTCGGACCCAGGCAGAAATTAGTGCATGTGACATTTTGTTTCTGGTATGTTCCTCAAGGAGCAGTCCTTCCACAGGTGACAACTACATACACTGCTGAACAAGACACGCCCTGCCACCTCAAGGCTCAGGCAACTCCAAAGGGAGACATCAGGAGGAAGGAGCTATCAGCCCAAGGGAAGGCAACATGTTGTTTGAACCAGAGACAGAGTACTGGTGACCACTGGAAAGGGAGGGGAAAATTCCAGCAAAGGGAGACGTAAAGAGGGCTCCCCAAATTCTGCATATAAACTCTGTTGAGCGGGTGCCAGTGGCTCACACCTATAATCCTAGCTACTGGGAAGCTGAAGAGGAAGGATCAAGGTTCGAGGCCAGCCTGGGCAAAAAGTTCAAGAGACCCATCTCCAAAATAGCCAGAGCACAAAGGGACTGCAGGTGTGGCTCAAGTGGTAGAGCACCTGCTTTGCAAGCGTGAAGTCCTGAGTTCAAACCCCAGGGCCACAAAAAAATTTTGTTGAAATTTCTTGCTGACTCATGAACCATGCATGCAGTGTAGGCAGTTTTAAAAACTAATTCCAGCTGGGTGTTGGTGGCTTACGCCTGTAATCCACCTAACAGACGTGTAACTGGAAACTACTTGTGTGCTGAGGAATCATGACCCACTTGGCTGGTCCTGCTGTAGACTGTGACAGTAAGTGCCTGGTTTAATGTCACAGATCCAGGATGGAAATCCTGACTTCAGGGCCTATGTCCTGTTACATCCTGAAGGACAGGACAAATTTCTATATTTGCATTTTGTTGGGAGGGAACGCTGGGGATGGAACTACTGAGCTACACCCCCAGCCTTCTCTGTATGTTTTAAATCAGGCCTTTAAGAAAAAGGATAAGAGGATAAAAGTCTAAGTTAGAAGCTGCTTAAAAGCCTAATTAAGAAGCACTGCCAGGACCAGGAGAGATTGGGGGATGGTTGGGGGGTTACCTGAGGTGAACATTTTTCCTGCACCCGAGATCACCACAGCTCGACAGTTAGGGTCACATGCAATCTTCTCAAAGCATTCCACCATCTCCCTGTGGGGAAGTCAGGAGTGAAGGGCTACCCATCAAGTGGGAGTCCCCAGCCCTAGTGTCCATCTATCCCTCAAGGTCACCCGTCCTCCCACCCCCAGTTCCTCCACCCATCTCCTCCTGCAGGTAGGCCTCCAGGATCTGCAGTCCAGACCTCCAAAAGGCCTTGTTCATGGCATTCCTCTTTTCAGGCCGGTTTAGTTGCACGTGGAGAACGTGTGTGTGGGCAGATGTCACCTGAAGGGACTCATAGTTGTAATCTGAGGCTTCCAAGGGGGCTGCTAGAGAGGTCTTCTCCTGTCCTGAGGAGCTCAGGGGGCGAACGCTGAGGTTGAAGCCCAGCTGGGTTGGGGCTGCCAGCCCTGGGGAGAGAAAAGAAAGAAGAGCCTTGGGGACCCCAAAATGGGGACACACACCTCCTGGACTCTAGCTTGAGGACACAGCTCCCCAGAGACCTGGGTCTAGGCACATACGGGTGTTAGGATGGGGTGCACTTGTCAGTGGCTTCAGTCTACGAGTGACCCAAGCCCGGGACAATGAGCTGTCAGAGACCCCAGACTGCAAGGGCACAAGCCTGCAGAATTACTGCGCGCACGCGGACCCCTGAGTTGCAAGGGCTCCGACCCATCCTGAGCCTGGACAGGCGTCCCTGTCTCCCTCTCGCTATGGCAGCACGACCCAGAGATGGCCCCCCAGGTTGCGAGCAGACTCACGTCGCGTCAGCAGGTCGCGGAGTACGCGAGACACAGCCATCCCAGCAGCCATCCTGACTGAGTCTCGGGAATAACCCGACAGGCGGAAGTCAACAGGGCGGGAACAAAACTCCGCCATGTTGGACGAGGGCACCGAAGCCGCCTCCCATCCGGCGATGACGCCCTCCGCCCGCCATCTTTACTAAGGGCAACCGGAAATGGCGTCCGAGCTCACTTGCTTATGTAGAATGAGGTTCAGGAACGAGCCCTTTGCCCCAGTGGGCACCTGGCCTAGCTAAGTAATTCGTTTTGTTGTGGGACATTGCTGTATAAAATTCATCACTTTTTTTTTTCTTTTTAGCATTGGGACATACTGGCAAGCAGAGCACCTGCAGTCCTGCAAGTTTATAACCATTCATGTGTAACTAAAATGCAAAAACCCCAGACACCCAGTACTAGCTCTACACAGGCAATGAGGCCACACACAGGCCAGGATTAAGCACTGCCTAAATTTCCTGTCCCTCTTGGGTAACACTTTTTTCTACAAGGTTGTACAGTTTGCCATCCTATTGAGGAAGTGGCTCAGAGAGGGGAAGTCACTAGGCCTAAGGTCACTGGGCTTTCAGGAGTGCTGAAGCAAGATCAAATGGCTCGAAGTTATTTTCCTTTTTTTCTGTACTGGGGTTTGAACTCAGGGCCTACACCTTTAGCTATTCCACCAGCCCTTTTTTGTGATAGGATTGTTCTAGATAGGGTCTCTAGAACTGTTTCCCTGGGCTGGCTTCAAACTACATTCCTTCTGTTCTCTGCCTTCTGAGTAGCTAAGATGTGTGAGCCACTACTGCCTGGCTAGTTTGTAGGGTTTTGTACTACTGGGTTTTGAACTCACGGCCCCACACTTGCTAGACAGGTGCTCTTACTGCTTGAGACACTCAGCCAACCCTTTTTTGTGATTTTTTTTTTTTTTTTTCAAAATAGCATCTCCCGAACTATTTTGCTTAGGTTGTTTTTGAACTGTGATCCTCCTGATCTCTGCCTCCTGAGTAGCTAGAATTACAGGCATGAGCCACCCGTACCCCACTTGAAGGTCATTGTTTTTGTTTTGTGGTACAGAATCCAGGGCCTCAAACATGCTAAGGTAAAAACTCTACCACTGAACATACCCCTAGCCCTCTTTTTCTCTTCCAAGTCCATGTTCAAAAAAAAAATGTGGAAAAAAAGTGTTACCCAGGAGGACAGAAAATATTGCTTTAAGTAGTCTCCTCAGGGAGATGTTCACCAAGAGGGTGAACAGATGTGTCTGGGCCAGTGGGAGTGTACAGAATGTTTTCTTCTGTCTGCTACCGAATATCCAGACTACCGACATTTTGATTTTTGGCAGCACTGGGGTTTGAACTCAGGACCTCATGCTTGCTAGGCAGGCACTCTACTGCTTGAACCACATCCCCCAGCCCTGGACAGTTTCCTTTTGAAGACAGAACCAGTAACTATCATACCAACAAAATGTTTGATTACCTATGTGATGGAACACTGAAAACCCTTTGCAGAGATACCAAGGTGAGGGGGGACTTTTTTTTTTTTTTTTTGCAGTGCTGGGGTTTGAACTCAGGGTGTCATGATTGCTAGGCAGGAAATTTTTTTCAGTAATGGGGTTTAAACTCAGCACTTACAGCTTAAGCCACTCCACCTTTTTTTTTTGCCTGAGATAGGGTCTATTTAAAACTATTTGCCCTGGCTGGCCTTGAACCGAGATCCTCTCGATCTCTGCCTCCTGAATAGCTAGGATTACAGGCGTTGAGCCACTAGTGCCTGCAATCTTGAGTTGTAAAATGTTCAGTGTAATCCTTTGGTGTCAAGATACAGTTGTAAATGGTTGTATATGCAAGGAGTACCTGTGGAAAGAGACAATGAAGTAGAATGGGGAGTGATAGGCTGGTAAAACTAACTTTATTCTCCTGGCTTATAAACAAACCCTATTTAAAGTAAGCATTCCCTGGCTCAGGTTTGATAAATGACTTCAGTAGATGTGTCTTTAGACAGGTGCAGCCTCTGTGGGCTGCCTGTTCCCTCCAGGATGAGTCAAGGTCAGCCCTTAAGCCAGGCTCTGCCCCCTCCTGGAGCCATGTGGGCAATTTTATCCTTAACCTACAGTTCCATTGAGGAACTGACTTTGAGATTAACAGCAGAGAAGCTGGCTACGAGACTTGTAGAAATAATAGACACATGCAGTAATGTTTGCAGTGGCAAACACATGAAATTTACCTTCAGGCCCAGGTTAAGTAAATCATGACACACCCACACAATATGGTGCAGGGGGCAGAGATAAGACAGTCCTTGGTGTAAAACAGGTTACGGAATTTGCAGAACTTCCTTATGGAAAAAATCATGAACCATGAGTAAGGGATCTCAGTAGGACCCTCACTTTTCTGGGGTCTTTCCAACCTTAAAAAAAAAATGCACAGAGCTGTCGGTTCATACCTGTAATCCTAGGCTGAGATCAGGAGGATGGAGGTTCAAGGGCAAACAGTTTGAGAGACTCCATCTCCAAAATAACCTCAGCAAAATGGACTGGAGGTGGGGCTCACAAGGTGGAGCACCTGCTTTGCAAGTGTGAAGCCCTAAGTTCAAACCCCATCCCACCAAAACAAAAATCCCACAAAAACTTTTTTTTGACACTCTTTGTACAGGGGGACTCATTGTGTCAATTCTGAATAGCCTAACATGCATTGGTTAGATCACGCCCACCACCTCCCCTCTGGACTCTTTCCCCACCCCACTCAAGGCAACTGCAAGAGGTTCCAACATCCTATTTTATATGTCTAGGGCCTATCAACCATTTTCCCTCACTTTGGGTCTCAACAATTTTTTTTGAGATGGAGCTATTCACAGGCTGTCCCCAAACTTCTGGACTAGCTAGCGCATCACAACACCTGGCTAACTTTTTTTTTTTGAGGGAACGGAATTTGAACTCATGGCTTTGCACTTACAAGGTAGGAACTCTACCACTTTTTCCTCAGGATATCTTGAAGATGAGGTGTTGCAAACTTTTTGCCCAGGCTAGCATCAAACTGTGATCCTCCTGATCTCAGCCTCCCACGTAGATAGCATTACTGCAGCCACCCACAGCCAGCTCCTAGTTACTTTCTAAATGACTGTTCCACTAGAATGAGCTTGCTTGGGCAGGGCCCTCTAAGAATGCCACTAGGCCTGCAGGAGTTTCCTTCCAAGGACTCCTTAATTCTTAGCATTATTCCCATCTGTGCCCCCTACACCCTGCTCTTCTCAGGGCTAGGCCTGCATCTCCCTAAGGAATAAAGTGGCTGGGCCCTGATCTGCCTACCTCTTTAAAAGAAGTGTGTGTGTTGGGGGGGGGGGGTAGACACTGCCCAGAATCCCAGCAAGTGGTATGTTTATTTTCCAAACAATTTTATTGAAATGTGCCAAGAGTACATGAGGCAGCACAAATGTATGAACAGGAAAAAAAAAAAAATCACATGTACAGTAATTTTTAAAAAGTGAAGGTTAATCTTGGGAGATATCAGGTCCCCTCTCCCTCCCCCTTCAGACTTCCAGCATTTCCATTATGGTTAAGCCTCTACTAACCTAGCATTTAGAAAAGGAATAGAAGAATGTTTGCAAAAAAAAAAAAAAAAAAAAAAAAAAAAAGAAACCAACAAAAACAAAATCAATGGCGTAAAGAAAAGAAAGGTTTTCCTGCTCAGGTGGGTTCTTCTTGGGCACCTAATTAGGAGGCGTGCTGGGCAGTGGAGAAGCACAGCTTCAGAGTGTAGGGATAAGGGCCATCTGCAAAGGAGAGGACAGAAGTCAGGCTCAGTCTCTCTGGAGATCCCCTCCCCAGGCCCTCCTCATTCTATACAACTGCAGTGGTCTAACTCCTCTGCATGATGTGAGCCCTAAAAACAGCCCCAGACACAGTCCCCTCACCTCCCTCACACTGGGTTCAAGAAACCCACTCCTGGGCAATGCTTGCACCAGTCTCTGATACAAAGAGAATGCAAGCCTGAGCAACTCCCAATCTGGCAGAGTAGATGGCGGCAGCAGCCAGGCTGACTCTCCCAGGAGGAACCTCATCAGGCGGCTCTCCCGGAGACCAGGTCTTGCCTGCCTGTGTTTGCAATGGGGAGGGAATCTCTGGGGTCCTATCTTGAGGGCAAGGATGGCTCTGGCCTGAAGCCAGCCTCCCATCAGGCCATCAGGGGAATTACTGCAGGACACACAGGTACTCACTTGGGTTTTTCATCTGGTAATGGTTCAGGAAACCCAAAGTCTCCAGGGCATCGCTCTTGGATTCCCACTCCAGCAGCCCAGAGGAGCTGCGCTCACCTGATCGGAAAGCAAGATAGCCAAGGTCTTAGGCTGACTCAGCAGGGACTGGCAGCTGCCCACTGGCAACCAAGAATTGGGGGAGGAGGGGCAGAGACTCACTTTTGCCTGAGAATACTTTCACAGAAGTTGGCCGCTTCACTCCCAGCTCGTCACAAATCTGCAGCAGAAACAGATCGTAAAAGAATTCAGAAACCCAAGCACCATACAAGAAAAGTTCAAGCAGGCCAGACCCTGAGAACTGAGTGCCTGAATTCTTCTGGAGAAAGGGTTTTTTGGCTTTGACCTTGTACTCCATACATTGGCAAGGATGGAGGAACTGCTTTTTCCAGCTGCCCACCTTCAACAGCTCCATGGATACATATGCCACTGGGTTAATGTTTGCTAAGCTGAAGGGCAACACTTGAGGCCATAGGGAGGTCCGGAGGCCAACCTTGCCCCTGCCCCTCCCTGAGGGCACTGTGACATTACCTAGCCACTCTAGATGCCATTGTCATCATGGGCCTATGGGGACTCTCCCAGAAAATGAGCCGCCACCCCAGCTTGCTCAGGGGCTCAGGAATCCAAGTCCAGCACCAGTCTCATTCTGTCTCCACTGTGAGCAGGGATTCTTACCTGTCTGTCCTGGTCTCTGCTGTGTCCCCAGCACCCAAACCCAGGAACCAGCAGAACAAGTGCTCACCCAATTACGTGTTCAACAAGAAAAATAGGAGGCCTACTCAGATGGAGAGGGCTCAGCAACCTACACTGCTCCATGGCACCCACCTCAAAGAAGTTGTCCTCGGTCACCTCCAGAGGGGCGTTGAAGAAGTGCAGCACATTGCTGGGGTGCTGGATGCGGTTCTTGGCTGCCTGCTCTGGGGTGGAGAAGCGATTGTTCCTTGACTCGCTGAAGTCTTTGTAACTGGAGGACCCATCTTCTAGCCCGTATGACTGGCCAGGCATAATGGCTGGCTGCTTGGAGACACTGTGACAGGGATGGGGAGCCTTGATCAGACTCTAAGTTGTCCTGATGGTGCTGTGTGCCTCTGAAAATGCTGCTCCATAGCTGACATGATGCTCCCATGCCTTCTCACCCCTCTCAGCCTAAGCACCTCCATCTCACCATGCTTGTCTTCTGGTCCCACCTGACTGGCTCTCCTGAGCCCCTCTCCAAACTCCCCATGCCTTGGGCAACAGCACCTACCAGACATTCATCTTCTGCCCAAACATGAAGTTGTTGTTGAGGTGAGTTATGGCCCGGTCCACTGCATAGCCATCAGCCATCTCCACCATGGCGGCCCCTGGTTTGCTTTTCATGAACTTTACCTTGGAGAGAGCAGCTGCACTCAGCACCCAGCTGCCAGAGCCTTCTGCTCCTCCCAAGCTAGTCCACAGCACCAACCCCTGCTCTGGATCTGGGCTTTCTCTCTTGGGAACAGGGAATCAGGACCACCAGGAAAAACATGCCTGACACATGCTGTTACAGATCTGTGGATATGGTCACAATGCAATGGACTTTTTTTGTGGTGTTGGGGATGGAACCCAGGGCCTCATACATGCTGGGCAAGCGCCGCACCATGAGCCCTGCTCCCCAGGCCCAAGGGATGACTTCATGTGGACTACTGCACCAGAAATACAAGAGCTGTGTCAGTTCTGAGGCCAGGATGTCCAGCTGGCTTCAGGGTGTTCACATAAAGATTATTTAAGCTCTGTTCTTCCCGAAAAATCACACGAGTCACTATGCGTAAAGCACCTTTTAACAGGGCTTGGTACATTAAGAACACTTCGTGGTGATTGATTACTCCTCTCTGTAATAAGCCAAGCTAAAGGCTAAACACTCAATAGGCTTCTAAGAGCAGATGAGTCTGATGGAAGCAAAATACCACCTTGCTAAAATACAGGCGGTCAGTCAGCTGCTCGCCAACTGAGGCCAAATGTGCCACAGGGAATGCAGAGAGGCCCAGCACTACGCCAGGGGCAGTGTAATCCTAACTACTCAGGAGGCAGAGATCCAAAGGCCCAAACTTCAAGGCCAGCCCAAGGAAAAATTTAGATCCTGTCTCAACAAATAAGCTGGGTGTGGTCCGCCATGCCTGCACAGTCCCAGTTCCACAGAGTAGGAGGTGTTCAGTCCTGGGCCAGCACCAGGCAAAAAACCTGAGACCCTCTTTGAAAGTTAACTAAAGCAAAAAGGGCCTGAAGGAGTGACTCAAGCAGTAGAGCACCTGCCTAGCAAGCTTGAGGCCCCGAGTTCAAACCCCAGTACCGCATAAAAAAACCAAACTGCCAAAGGGCCTGGCATCACCAGCCAGCCAATCAAGTCTCCCAGGGCAAAGCTGTCTTCACGGTCTTCCTGACATCCTGTCACCCTATGTCCACATAATGGCAAGTCTGCATGCTTTAAAGTAGTGAAATCCTAGGTCCTTCAACAATGGCAATTCACCAGTAAAAGCCACGAAGTGCTCAGTGAGGACCAAACAAAACCTGTTTGGTGCAAGTCGCAGGCCGCCTGGGCCCCTGGGCAAGCTGGGCCCATGGGAAAAGCAGCCGACCCCACAGCAGCTCACCTTTTCCACATTGCCATACAAGCAGAAGACATTGAAGACTCGATCACAGTTCATCTTAGACTGATCCAAGCCATACACCATGAGCACAGGGCTGTCGGCGTGGGGGCCATACTCGGGTGGTGGGGGAGGGGGTGGGGGGTGCCCATACTGAGGGCCGTAGCGGCTTGGGCCCCGACGGTGACCCCCCACGGGTGGGCCCATCCTTCTCCCTTCGTAGTGAGGTGGGGGGGGCCCGTAGCCCTCATCATGGTAATGGCTGTGGTACCCACCGTGGGGCCCTCCTGGGGGGTGGGAAGGAAAGAGAGGGAGGACGGGTGAGAATTTGCGCGGCGGGCGGCGGGCAGGGGCACAGGAGCCACGGGAGTCCACGGAGGGGAACCCCCTGCCCTCACCATATTCTGCCGGGTGATCTCCCAGGAGAGGGGGTTGTCTCTGGCGTTTGTTGGGGTTACTGCCAGGGTCACCTGCAGACAGAAAAAGTATTAGGATTCAAACTCAAGAATGAGTCCCTCCCTCCTGACTAGAGGCTAATCTCAAGTTGCTCAGCTCCTGTGAGCATGGCTACAAGCCCTTTCCTTATGAGGGCTGCTGGGACCTCCTTTCTAAGGACCTGACCTAGGGAGGCGTGATGCCAGGCCTCAAAGCTGGAGCCCACCTTCCTTCCCTACCCAGCCTGCACCAAGGGGCTGGCTTCCTTTCTTTGTGAAGGGTGAGGCCTCTTCTGTGCCCAGGGATGGGGGAGTTCACCTTGCAGGCCTCTGGGGAACCTGCAAGATGCTACAGAGCTGACACACTATGGAGCCCAACAGACCCTTTGTAAGTCCCAAAAAAGGGAACAGGTTAAGAGCAGGGAAATAACCCAAGATAGGCAGAAACAGAATAAAACCTGTTTCTGGGGGGGTCTGCGCCCCACTCTGGACCCCTTCATTCTAGACCCTGTTCCCCCACCCCCCAGAAACATACACACAGTCCCATCCAGCCCGAGGAGTTGGGCTGTAGGACCTGATGAGCAGGGCAACAGCAGAATCATTTTGAATGAGCAGTCACATACAACAATGTTCTTAGACCCAACAATGGCGCAGAGCCTCCTCCCAACCCTAATTGCAGTTCACAACCACTACCATTAATCCAACTTAAGTGGCAGACATGGGAAGGAAGCACTTTACAGACATCACAGCTTCTTCATGTCCTCACAACAACCCTATGAGGTAGGTACTAAGGTTTTAGCCCCACTTTACAGATAAGAAGACTGAGGAGTTACCTTTTAACTGAGCAGTTAAAAGACATTTTGACCCAAGGTCACAAAGCAAGTCAGTGGCTAGGCCAGGATTTGAACCCAGGTCTGGCTAACTCCAAAACCCAGGGCTCAAAACTACTGCCCTTTCCTGCCACCCGGCCTGGGTTTGTTTTCAACAAGCAGTCATTACAAAGATGGAAAGGGCTACTTACAGCAGAAGTACAGAGTACAATGTCCATTTGTCACAAAAAAACAAATCTGTATTTTCTCTTACCATTGGACGCTTCAACAGTGAGTTAGCACAGTTCTGAAAGATGGCGTCCCATCAAACATACACTGCGACCCTGCATCACATGGTTTTACAGTCATAAATACAAGTTACGGCACACATCCGCTACACATTTTTTTTTTTTAAAAGAATCGCTTTAAAAGTCAATGTTTTGATTAAATCAAAATTGGCTCACAGATGTTCTGTCCTCAGAAGATATCAGAGAGTGGAAGGAAATGAAGGTGTATGGAGTGGGTAGTGTCCCTCCGTGTTGTCACCTCCTCACACTGTGTGCTACAGTGCGGTGGTGCGGGGCTTCTGCTGTGTAGCGCTCCGTGTGCGTGTCTCCTGGTATGAAGTGTGCCAGTGGCCCCACTATGCGCGCGCTTTTGGCCTTGGGAGCACGCCCGGTTACCCGCCAGCAGGTAACTGTGTGCCTCTGAGCTGTGGCTGTCTGGTTTTAGGTTTGTTTTGGTTTTTTTGATTTTTTTGTTGTTGTTGTGGTTTGAAAGTTTTTTTGTTCTGATCTCCGGTTGGTGCAGATTGTGTTGGCAGCCGGTGACTGCAGGAAAAAATATCAAAACAGAAAGAAAAAAGGCCCTCCCCAAACCAAAGGACTTAAAATCAAAACCCACATGGCGAGGAATGGAGAGGATCCTATTGTCTCGGAGGCCCATGGGATCTACTTCAGTCTACGAACCGTTCTCCGAAAAGAGCACCGCTGGCTGGTTGGGAGAGCTCTGTTCTCTGTGTTTCCTACTTCTGTGTACATTCTCGGGTTCAAGTTTGCTTGGATTTTGACTTTAATGTTTAGTAAAAAAGCAGTGTCTGCTGCCATGTTGAGTCTCTTTCTCTTTGTCTCTGTCTGCCTCTGTCTCTGTGCTTGTAGCTGTTCCTTGGAGCGCGGTGTGGTGTTCTTGATGTAGTGAGCTCAAGTCTGCGGCTGTTTCTGGGGACGTGGTGGAGGCTGCATGTTCTGTTCTCCAGGAAGAGCTAGTGGTTTTCTACCCTGTGTGTTGGTGAGCAATGTGCAGAGGCAGAGCCGCTGAAGTATGGTTCCTGAGGGGGTGGCGAAGCACCGCCCTCACTCCAGGTTACCTCACCAGCCCCTTGTTTTTGGGCCCCAGCCTTGGGGCGGCCAAAGCTGAGAGGCATCAAAAGCAATGCACAGCCAGCCCCTGCCACTAGCCCCTGCTGGTCTGCACATCTTCTATTTATGTTCCTTGGAGAAGAAATGGTTGGTTGCCATGTTTCTGTTAGAAGTCATGTAATGCCATTGCCCGCTCTGTACAATCACTTGATCAATTTGCCTCTGACCTTTGGAGGGAGCAGCCAGGCCCACAGGACCCATTGTGAGGGTCCTGGGGAAGTCTAGCCCACCCCCCACCAATGCTTCCCAGCTTCAGGATCAAGCAAGACAGGCTGCCTAGGAGGGGGGCCTCTGGCCTCCCAGAGCCTGTGTGAAGTCAGCAACCAGCCTCCTCCCTCAGCCCATGGCCTAGCCGACGTAATCAAACCAAGAGATGGACGGTGCTGATTTTCAGAGGGGGTGCCGCTGTTTTTCAAAGACAATCCTCCACCTCTCCTGCCTAATAAAGGCAAGCATTCTTGACAGACACTAGGAAGAGGGTGGTCCATTTGGGAACCCCCACACAGAGATGTTGAGTGCCCTCTACAAGTGAGGTGAGGCGTGTCCGCCCTGGTCCACTTTTGAGCATCTGACTCCACAAGGTCAGCTTGCTCAGAGGTTCTGCTGCATGACCCCAGCGGCCCTCATCACCCTCCCCATCTGCCATCTCCACCATCTGACACTGGCAATGATAATGAGAGGACCATTCCTGGCAGGGTGGGAACGGACAGCCAGTGTCCCCTAACCAGGCTCTACAGAAAGAAGGCAGCAAAATCCAGCTGGGAGCTGCTACTGTTCCTAAGCCCCATGCCATGCCTTGGCCTCAACTCTACTCTCAGCAGGGTCACAGGGCCCAGGCAGCAGAACCCACAGAGGCCCTCATTTACCCTGTCACTGGGATCTTTTTTCTGAGAACTGACCCAAAGTCCTCCGGTGTCCACAGGGAGTCTAATGGCATTACATAACCTGAGCCCAGGTCTATGAGGTGCACTAGTCGAGGTCTATGAGGTGCACTAGTCGAGTGAGGCGAGGCGGGTGTGTCTAGAGCAAAGTGGCCATCAGGATTACCTTGTCCACTGAGGTTGGGGTTTGTGTAGTCCCAAGTATCCTGATCATTCTTGAACACGTTCAAGCGCGTAGGCTGCAAGGACAAGATAAAGCTTGAGACCGGCCATGTGCCATCTCACCCAGAAGCTGACATGGGGCAGTCATGTCCCAGACATACCTTTGCATATTCAATCTTCAGAGTACAACAGCCAGAATAGATGTCAGCCCCATTGAGCGAAGCCTTGGCCCGCTGGGCACTCTGCACAGAGTCAAATGTAAGCTATGTTAAAGAAAGTATCACCACAGCTCCTCTTTGGGAAGGGCTTCAAATTGTTCCAGAAAAGGAGGACAAAGCAGCACCCAGACATTGTAGCGTGTGGGTTTGGGGGTCAGCTCACTGCCACAGCCTCCGGAGAGAGGCTAAAGTTGTGGAGTGTGCCCGGGAGAGCAGCCACTTGTCCAGGTTCCATGACCTGCACCCCCAGCCCAGCCACCGCCGTAAGCCAAGCCACCTGCTTCATTTTTGTCCCAGTCCTCGTGTCGCTCTGTCTCCCAATCATCAGCCAGATTACAGCCTGCCTGCCCTAAGAGTCCACCAGCAGCTTCCCACTACACCTGTCCAAAGGTGCCCTGCTCTGCCAGCCACTTTGCAGTCCTTGTTCTTCCTTGGAACCTCTACCTGGTTCCAGTCATCTCCTCATGGCGACAGGATAGTGCCTCAGGGACCTGCCCAGATCCCTTCCACATTCCTTTCCGTGCAAATCTCATGGCCTCTCCTTCCTCTTAAGACGTGCCCAGTATATGCCTGCTTCCTCGTTCCCTCTCCCCCATCAAACTGTAGGCTCTGTGAAGGCACTAAGCAGGCACTCCATAGACATGCGGCAGTTGAAAGACTGTCCCCACCCCATGAAAACGCATTCCTAGTAAAGGATATTCCACCATGGCCTGGACTCCATTCTTCCGGAAGATGACAATTCTCTGGACAGGGCCGCAAGGATTGCAAATAGTGTAAAGAACGTCCTGTAAAAACAAAGGCCGGCACAGTGAAGGGCCCTGGCCAGCCAGCCTGGCTTGGGGAAGGGACAAGGGGAGGGAGCAAACCTCACAGATGAGCTACAGAAATGCCTGCTGGCACGCACCGTGGTTATGGAGTAGATGGGGTTCAGGATGGTGAAGAGAAGCACACTGTTAACACTCCGGGAGTCATCTGAGTCCCCGGGGCGGGAGATCTTCTGGCTGGTAGAGTAATTGACAAAAGCTGGGTGACCAGCAATGTAGATCTGGTTGTCAGCTGCGTAGTTCACTGCGTTGCAAGCCCCCAACACATCTTCAAATTCCACCAGTGCCTGTCTCTTCTTGGGCATCACCACCACATAGCTGGCAGAAAGAAGTTTCCAGTCCTCTCAGGGGGTGCAAGCAGGAGAATGTCCTATGGTTTTCTGTGAACTGACTCCTCCATGCCCCTGGACTTCTCTGAATCCCTGCCATGGTCTCTTGACCTGATACCCCATGCCACAGGTATGTCACCCCCTCCCCATCCCACCGAGTCAGTCGTCTCCCCTACACCCAGGGCCTACCCCATCACAGCGCTAGTCACTCTGGGTGGGCAACTTTCTGAGAGGAAGAATCCAGGACAGTTTTGTTCACTTTTGTATTCCCAGAAACTAGAGTATGTCGAATGAGTATTTGCTGAATGAAAGAACAGTGACTAAGATTATAAGCAGAGAAGGAAGGAAGAAGAAAGGGACGTGGAACTTGCAAGTCAAAGCTCAATGACCAAGCCCAAGAGTAGAGCAGCCATGAATGTAGCCAAAGGAATGTGGCTCATAAAGACAAAATGACTACTTCCAATCAGAAACAAGTGACAGCAAAGGAGGTGACTTTGAGAAACTTGAACCGTGATCTAAGCCCAGTACCTGATGGGTCCAAATTCCTGCAAGGCCTCCACAAGGTCAGCTTCCACAACGCCGTCAATCAGGCCCCTGATATGAACAACTGGGGAGGCAGGGGTTTTGTGGGGGTCATCGTAGTTCTCCTGAGAAAGGAAACAGACAAGACTTTATTTCCTGACTAAAAAGGCAGCCAACCAGTAGCAGCTTCAGTGCACTCAGGTATGACAATCAAGTATCAGAAAGAATATACAGAGCAGAAGAGGGACAATTTAAGCCAATCCCACCAAAAGGTTTCTGGGAAGGCAGGACAACAGCCTTGAGTGGTTGGTCAGTTGTCCAGTGGCTGTAGCTTTGGAGGAATGCACATTGCAGAACCAGAAAGTCTCAAACTGACCTTCCTCTAGGGACCAGCTCAATCCATGTGGCTCAGAGAGGGGACACACCTTCAGGAAGGGCTAAAGCAAGTGTCCACTGCAGTCTGAAGGAGGACATGCAGCTTGTTTGTGCTCCAGATTCTTTGCCCTTCCTGCGGTTGAGCCAGGCAAGGGTCCCCAGCAGTCACAAAGGGGCAAAAGAGTGTATGTCCCAGAATCTGTGGCAGCCTGGACAATCTTGACCCTTCTAGTTTTACCCATGACAAACTAAGGAAAAACAGGGTGAGGAAGCTCTTTAGAATGAAAAGAAACTTGCTGGAGGCATGGCTCAAGTGGTAGAGTGCCTGCCTAGCAGGCACAAGGTCCTGAGTTCAAACCCCAGCACCATAAAAAAAAAACAAAAAAACCTCTAACACATACCACTGAAAACCTTCTCAGGGGATGCTATCTCTCCACCCACACAGAAACCTCTGGGACTGAGAAGGAAAGTAACACTCCTCCATCTCTCCTGGGCTCTGGGCCCAGCCTCTTGTCTAAGAAACACTGGACAGAAGCCCATGCAAAAGGGTAAACCTGCATTCTATTTCAGGAATGAACCACACAAACCACAAGAGCACACATCCTGGTTGTGTCCAACCAGGAGGTCTGATTTCCACAGCCCTGAGTTCTAATCCCAACCTTGTCCCTCACTACCCATATGACCTAAGGTAATTTACCAAAATCTGTAGGAATCCTAATGCTTCCTCCCTGCCAACCTCACAGAGGAACGGGAAATCAATGAAAATGTTTTCCAATTTCGTGTGACAAAACCCGGGAAGATTAAGTCTAGTAACCACTACTGCTGAACCCTTAAAACGACAGAAACTCCCCAATGAGAGGCCTTCAAGAGTGGGAGATTTAAAAGGCTGAATCTCTCCGAACGTGCCCACGTGATCGGGGTATTTTAATTTACCACACACACCCCGCAGAAAGTGTGAGCAAATATTTGATGGCTCCAACGCTTGGCTCAATTTAAAAGGGAAAATCACAAATCTTGTCTTCGTTTTCTTAATGTCCCCAAAAGTGGTGTCTGGGGATATATCGTCAACAGTCAATTTCGGTATGGAGTCAAGACTTGAGATCGGACGGAATTTCCCACTCAGCGAAGCCACCACCCATCCTTTCCCGCTCAGAAGGTGCTCCCCCAACCGCCCACGAGGCCAGCCTGGAGAAGCGCGCATGCGCACGGGGCCGCAGAAAATGATAAAGGGAAAAAAGGCCCGGCCCCCACACCAGCCCGCGGCGCCTGCGCAGTGACCCTTCTGCAGAGCGAGCTTCTTCCTCCGCCCCCTCAAACCCGTTCTGGACTGCACGCATGCGCACGCGCCTGTCCTCGCTCAAACCCCACCGTTTTCCCAACGCCTGCCCCTCCCCCACTCCGTCAACGGCGCGAGGGCCTGGGCGCGTGCGCAGAGGACCCCCCCAAAAAACAAATACCCTCAAAGTACGGAATTTTTCCCTTTTTTCCGGGCGCCGAAAGCCCTGGCCTCACCCCGCCGCCGCCGCCCGCCGCCCCAGCTCCTCCGCCGCCACCGCCTCCGTGCTGGTCGCCGGCGTTGTCAGTCTTCAGCCGCTTAGGAGCCCGGCCGCCCTCACTGCCGCCACCGTAGTAGCGGCCGCCGCCGCCGCCGCCTCCCGCCGCCGCCATCTTCACCATCGCTCCCGACCGCCTCAGCTGCTCGTCCGGTTGCTGCCTCTGCTCCAGCCGCCGACGCCGCTTCTCCGCCCGGGGCAGCAGCCTCCGCGACATGGCGGCGCAGAACCCGCCTCCCCCCGCCTCTCATTGGGGGAGGGACACGCCCGTCACCCGCCGCCCCCACCCGATAGGGGGAGCCACTGGCCCCGCCGTGGGGGGAGGGGAAGCATCCTCACGCCTGCGAGCCTATTGGATACTCTCCACGCCGTTCTGCAGGAGGACCCGCCCTCGTTTGGCTGAAACACTCCTTATAGGCACGCGCTTTCTGCCAGTCATTTCGCCAACCCCGCCGCCTTAAAATAAACTCCAGTTTGATTGGTCGGATTTCTGGCATTGCCCGGCCTCCCTAGGACCTCCGAATAGAAGCGACTCTCCACACCTCCTGAGAAGCCCCTCCTTCTTCCCACTTTCGTTGGTTTTCTCGCTAGTCCTTCAAACCGAAAGTTCTAAATCCCCCAGTCACAACGACCACCTTCCAGCGCCACTCCGCAAGGAGACGGGAGACCCTCCCTTCTGTCTGTCTCCAGTGGTCAATGCAGATGCCCATCTTCTGCGTCACCAACCAACTGGTCAATGGAGAGTGGAAAGAGGCTTCTCTTGCCAGCTAGCAGGATTACTGATGATCTCTGATTGGGTGGAAAAGGGGAGCCCTAGGCGCTCTTCGGCGCAGTTTAGGAAAGGATCGGGGCGAAGACGCAGGCTCCAGTGTCCTTGTAGGGGCCTTCGGAGGCTGAATAACTCTTTAAGGAAGCGACCGCCGAGTGACCTGAGTCGTTTGAGTATCTGCTGTTCCAGCGTCGGAAGTCTGGAGCAAGCCCTGGTCATTTCTCGGGGCACCTATTTCCCCATCATCTCTAACTTGCCCAAAGTGGGGGAACTTCTTTTTAAATCCCACTTCTGACCCTTTTCCTTCCTCCCTCTGCCTCACTGTCTTTGGAGTGCCAGCTCCGGGCAGGTTCACCACTCCCCCTCTAACGCAGCCACCATAAATCAGTGCGCCGAGTGCAAGGATCGCGCACCTCTCGGTCTGGGCCGTGCAGGCCCTCCCACCGGACACTTTCTCCACCGCCTCTTGACCCTGCGATGCAGACTCAGTTCTACCTGGTCGCTACCAGCCCAGGCCCCGGTGCTTATCCCTCCATAACTCAGTGACCGCCCTGGCCACCCTGATCCTCGGAAATCCCATGCAGCAAGGGAGCAAGGGCCGGGCCTTCGCTCCTCGGGTGCGGGGCAGGGCCGCCCAGACTTCCTTGCAGAGGGAGGCGTCGCTCCCAGGCTCCCGCAAAGCTCAACTGCTGACGGGGCGGCCCCAGTCCCCGCTGGGAGGAAGGCAGTGACCTAGGATCCGTGTGAAGAGCCCTAACAGGACGGGGCTGCCTCCGGGGGGGCGCGCTCTTAGCCTAAGGGGCTGGGGCTCAGTGCTGGAGCGCTTGCTTAGCATGCACGAGGCCCTGGGGTCCAACACCAGCAACGCAACAAAAACAGGAGGGAAAGAGAGGCAGGAGAAAGGGAGAGGAGAGGGAGAGAGAACGCAATCTAACGTCCTGGGAAAGACGCAGGACGCCCAAAAATCTCCTAGTACCTTTGCACTCGGTGACAGGGGCTTCCGGAAGTAAGGGGCTCTTCGTGGAGACTAAGTTTGAAATGCGACCAATGGGGCAACGCCGGCTTGGGGTAATAAAGTTTTAAAGGACAGTGTTTGATGGGACCCTAAATGAGCCCCCAATTCACACCACAAAGACTTCGCCTCCCCCACCTCCCATCTCCCTCAACCCCGCAGGCCAGGACGGGGGGCGGTACTGCTGGTGAGCACGTGACGCGCGGGGGCGGGGCCAGCGGGGCCCGACGTCACGCCATGCGGTGGGGGAGGGGGAAGGGGCCCCGCCCCACCCCCGCTCCCGGCCGGGCGCCCCTGGCACCGGCGCGGGGCGGATCGCGGCGGGACCGGCCCGGCATGCAGGCCCCTCGCCCGGCCACGCGCGTCCCCGGAGGCCACCGCCCGCCCGCGCCCCGCGCCCCGCGCCCGCCGCCCCTTCCCCCTCCCCGCCTCCTGAGCGCGGAGACGGGACGCGGCGTCCGCCGGGGTGGCGCCTCCCACCAGAACCCCCCCCAGCGCCCCTCCCCGGCCCCACGGCCCCCGGCCCTACCAGCTCGGCGGCGAGCCTGGCCGGCCGTCCCGATCGAAAAGAGCAGACACTGGGAAGTTTTGGGGGAGGGAGGGGCGGGCCTTAAAGGAACCGCGACCTCTTTTTCAGCCCGCGGGGGAGAGTAAAACGGGGCGGGGGGGAGACCGAGGAGACCACGAGCCCAGATAGGAATGGGAAGTGCCTAGACCCGCTGCGTTGGGGATCGCGCCCCTGTTCCCCCAAAACCAACCCCTTCACCCCCGCCAGGCAGAAAGTCGCTCGTAGTTTGGGGTTCGCGCGTCGCTCTTCCTGATCAGCCCAGTGGTGCGTGTTGGGGTACATGTTGGAGGGTAGGTTGTATAGAGGAGGGAACGGGCTCAGAAGGTGCAAGTGACCAAACCAGGATGTCACAGCTTGTAAGTGGCGGGGTAGGTTTCGTGTGACTTCAAGGCAGTTGCGTAAGCAGTGGCTGTGGCTATGGGGACAGCAGTGGAGACGGGGCCGGGTTGGGGGACCATCGTGGACTTTGGGGCACACGGCTGGGGTTCATCGGTCGTGGCTGCACTTAGTAGCGATGCGTCCTTGGGAAAGTAATGTCGCCATTTCGGGCCTCTGTTCTCTCACCCATTAGGGGAAGTCATGAGTCCCCAGAGTGTCTGGAAACAGGGACCCCATTTCGCAGACGACATAACAGGCCCACAGAGTAAAAAGAACAGCTTGGAAATCCCCATAGCAAGGCAGCCTCTGAAAAAGGAGGTTGTTCCCCTTTATTACCCCACAGCTTGTCGCCTGACCTTCACCGCTCTTGTAAACTAACACCTGCCCCATCCTAATTTGCATGGCACAAATTCTGCCTTGCCTTCTGTTTGCCAAATGTCCAAAGTTTTTTTGCGCAGGCCAACCCCTCTGCCTGGATACTCCCAGATCTGTGCTATTTGTCATCTGACCCAATTTGACTTACAGGCCACCTCCTGGTCACCCCAGCCTAGTTAGCCTCCATAAAGAGTTTTAATCATGGCTTCCCAGTCGTCTGCCTTGTTGCTCTTAGAGCCAGGGAAAACTCTGCAGCTTACTTATTTCTGGCTCCTCGCTAGCATCTGGGCTCTTTGGGGCTAGTGTTAAGTCCAGTAGGGTCAACGATGCTTCGCATGTGCCCCTGTGGTCCCATAAGATTATATCATCCAAGACATCTTTGTGGGGGTGGCGGTACTGGGGTTTGAAGTCAGCACCCAGCGCTTGCTCTGGAGCCACACTCCAGTCCTTTTTTGCTTTAGTTAATGCTCCCCCTCCCCCAACATAGGGTTTCATGTTTTTTGCTTGGGGCTGGCCTAAAACCAGCATACAAGTCACCACCATGCCCGCTTGTTTTAAGAAGGAGGTCTCACTGACTTTTTCCCCATCCTCCCAATCACTCTCTCCCACATAGCTGGGATTACAGATATGTACCACCACTCCCAGCCCAAATCTCTCTCTCTCTCTCTTTTTTTTTTCTTGGCAGTATTGGGTTTGAACTCAGCTGGCTAAGCAGGGAGTCTATCACGTGAGTCACACTGCCAGCTCTTTGTTTGTTTGAGACAGGATTTTGCTTTGTAGCCCAGTCTGGCCTTGAACTTGAAGTCCTCCTTCCTTCGCCTCCTGAGTGCTGGGATTACAGATGTGTACAACCACCCCCAGCTCACAAATCCATTGTGATCTGAATAAATGTGGACAAAGAGCTCCTCCTTACCCGTGAAAGAGACATAAATGTAGAAGGAATGATGGTTTTCAGATTATCAGGGGACCCTACTAGTGGGTAGAAGTTTAAGTGTCTCCCATACATTACTTATTAATTACAAAGGGAAAAATCATAACTCCTAGAGGAAACTTGGTAGACACTTTCTTAACCAAGGGATCAAAGTAACATCACCAACATCCGGACAGACTGACATCGTGTCCCTCAGTACACACAACACAAGACTACAGTGACATGTGTGAACAAGTTCAAATGGAGAACATGCTGAAACAATGGACTTCCACCATTCCTCCTAAGCCACGTGGTTCAGGACTGTAACCACAGATACTTGGGAGACTGAGATCCAGAGGCTCCTAGTTCGAGGCCAGCTCGGGCAAAATACCTCCAGAGACTCTATCTGCAAAAAGAGCAAAATGGACTGGAGGTGTGGCTCAAGTGGTAGAATAACTGCCCAGCGAGCATGAGGCCCTGAGTTCAAACCCCAGTACTGACATAAAAAACAAAACAAAACCTCCAGATGAAGGAGACTGAAGGCACTGGTGGCTCACGCCTGTAATCCCAGCTACTCAGGAGGCAGAGATCAGGAGGATCATGGCTCAAAGCCAGCCTGAGCAAATAGTGCTTGAGACCCTATCTCAAAAATCCCCAACACAAAAAAGGGCTGGCAGAGTAGCTTAAGTGGTAGAGCACCTGTCTAGCAACATGAGACCCTGAGTTCAAATCCCAGTAGCACAAAAAAAAATGTTTCAAAGTTGTTTTTTTTTTAAAGTTTATCACCTTAAGATGTCATAGCCAGCTTAGTTTGTGTGAGAACATAACCTACAATGTTTGCACAGCAACACATTTCCCAGATTCTTCCTATTGTTTTGTTTTCCTCCTGGGGATTGAACCCAGGGCCTCACAAGCACTCTACCACTTGAGCTATGCCCCCAATCCATTTGTGTTTACTTACTTTTTTTTTTTTTGAGATAGGGTTTCCCTTACTTTGTGCAGGCTGACCTTGAATTCACAATCTTCTTGTCTCTTTCTCCAAAATAGCTGGGATTACAGGCATGTACCACCATGTCTGTCTTCTCCCTCTTGTAAAGAGAGGCCTGTGTTTATGTTTCCTCCTTCTTATGAGCTGTCCTTCAACAGATGTTTATTGAGCCAACATTATTTGGGGAATGTGGGATAGAGTGGCAAAAAATCCATATTCTCAGAGGTGACTTTGTACTCTAAGAGATAGACAATAAACAAATCAAACAGGCCTAGCATGGTAGCTCACAGCTATAATCTCAGCTACTCTGGAGGCAGAGATCAAGAGGATGGAGGCTCGAGGCCAGCCCAGGGGAAAAGTTATCAAGACCCCATCTCAACCAACAAGCCAAGCATGGTGGTATGCCCCTGTCACTGAAGCTGTTCCATAGGCGTAGGTAGAAGGATTAAGGGCTGAGGCCAGCCCCTGGCAAAAATGTGAGACCCTACCTGAAAAATAACTAATGCAAAAAAGCACTGTGGAGCACCTGCCTAGCAAGCACGAAACTCTGAGTTTAAACTCCAGTACTGCCACAAAAACCAGACCATAGACTGTGGGCTCAGCACTTCCCGTGATTCCAACCCCTCCTTCGGGCACATGGCCAGTGGCCCAGGTCCCCAGCTCCTGAATTCTTATGCACTGAGACACGGCAGTAAAGAAAAGTCCTTCTCATGCCCCCGGGTCACATGCCTGTCCCATGGCCCTCCAGGTCTGCCAGTCCCATCAGTAACTATTGGAACAGGCAGAACTGGGGCAGGACAGAAGAGGGAAACTGAGGCATGGGAAACAGCAGCCAGGAACTCCGAGATGAGAACTGTGTTAGTGACTGGCTTGATTCAAAGCGCAGAAACTACCTTCTGTGACTCAAGCTCTGCTGCCCTGCCGGGCTGCAGCGTTCGTAAAAAAAATCCGCTTTCTCCTCTGACCTTGACCCTGGCCCAGATGGTTACTGTGCTCTGGGAGTTGAGCAACAAATTTTTTAAATGACACTATAATTTAATGGTGGTATATGGTGAGAACTTTTGCAAATGTTACAATGTACCTCCAGTACAGCAATAACACCATAATAAAATACATAAAAAGAAACATTTGCTAAAATGACTCCTTTGATCACAGAATTGTCAGCAAAGAAGAAAAGAAAAATTTTTTAAGAAAGGACCTGGCTTAAAAGCATCTGGTGAGACCCATCTTCCGTTTAAAGGGACACTCAAGCAAAACAGACATCCGTGTTACTGTGACCCAACTTAGTAAACTGACTAACTTTTTATATCTGGGTCCAACTGATGTCAAAGCAGTATAGGAACCAGGTGCCGGTGGCTCATGCCTGAGATCCTAGCTACTCAGGAGGCAAAGATCAGGAACTTCGAGGTTTGAAGCCAGCCTGAGCAAATAGTTCACAAGACCCTATCTCAAAAAACCCTTCACAAAAAAGGGCTGGTGGAGTGGCTCAAGGTGAAGGCCCTGAGTTCAAACCCCAGTACTGCAAAACAACAACAACAACAACAACAAAATAACAGTATAAGGCTGGCATAGTGGCTCAGTCCTGCAATCCCCAGGATTGTGGTTTGGTGCCAGCCTAGCAAAAAGTTAGCAAGACACCATCTCAACAAATAAGCTGATGCAGTGATGTGTCTCTATAGTCTCAGCAACACGAGAAGCATAGGTAGGCAGGTCAAAGTCTGAGGTCAACCCAGGGCAAAAAACGTAAGACCCTATCTGAGAAATAACTAAAGCAAAAGAAAGGGCTGAGGATGTGACTCGAGTGGTAGCCAGGCTGCCTAACAAGCAGGAGCCCTGAGTTCAAATCCAGTACTGACAAAAGAAAAAAAAGAACAAGGCCTTGGAACAGAGCACAGACACTTTGGAAACCAAGTGGGCGTGAACCAG